ATCATTTTTTAAACAAAAATGGATACAAATCGAAATTAGAATCAAATTTCAAAGAAATATTTTTTAATAATTACAATAGCGAATTTTGCGACATACATCGATGTGATAATATGATCATCGAAAAGAGTTAGTCCTTTTTAATTTTTAAATATGTCAAGGATAAAAAGGAATCAGGGGAACTAACTTCAGGCCATTATAAAAAAGTCAAACGATTTAAATCAACTTAATCATTTATTCACATATTTTAGCATTTCTTTCACTTTTACTTAATTTTTTTTATTTCAAAGACTTACTATTACGATTTCTTTTTAAAATGTTTTCTTATGCGAAATTTTTGTAATTTTATTTTTGTATTTATAGTACTATAGTACAACTAACATGAAACGTGAGACCAACATTTTTTTGTTACTACATATTTTTTGTTTTCGTGAAGTGAAATGATTAAGTTCTTTTTCCAATTTAATTAAATTTTCATTTTTAATTTTAGCGTTAATTAATTATATTTGGTCTTCGGCTGTGTACAGTAATTTGTGATAATATCATTTGAGTATTTTTATATACCAAAGTTTATTTATAAGTATAAATTAAGACGAATAATATATTTAGATTAAGAATGAAAAAGACTGAAAGGAGCTTCGCGAAACAATTTTATGTAAAAAAAATCATTCCTCTTTTAGAAACAAATTGTTTTGATTCATTTTAGTTTTTTTTTAATTTTTATTTGTTAATATTGCATTTGATATTATTAATATTGCATTTCCGGAGCTTCCGTAAAATATTTTAGCGACGTTACTTTTTTTCAATATTATAAAAAAAATTTCCTGATTGCAGGAATTGATGTTTTTTTTATGATATATTAAAAACTGAGAATGTTGTCTCATATGATTATATATTTCTTGTGATATTAAAGACTAATATCGTTTTCGATTGGAATGCACTAGCTGCACTCAGTGTCAAGAGCGTGTTCGATTGGCAGTGCCAATGTGCACTTAGCTAGTGTCACGTGTTCATTTAACCGCACGACACTCGCGTAGTGCGCACTCAGTGCGCACTAAGTGGTACGAGATATTTTGACGGTGCCAGTTCAGTGCACTGGATACATACAGGGAATGGAAGTAACTCGTTACTTATAACGAAGTTACAGTTACAAGTTACTTTTTGGGTAACTTTACTGATAACTGCGTTACTTTTTCTTTTTGGTAACTGTAACGGTAACTTAGTTACATCTTTTTGGTAACGGTAACGAATTTTACAGTTACTTTCATCGTTACTTAGCACACGATTGAATAGAGATGTAAAAAACGGTATTTTTTATTTCGGAGAAAAGTATCAAGCAAACAATTAGTTTTTTTAATGTTGTTGCGTATTAGCATACGCTAGTAAACGGAATACGTTGATCGGGGGGAGGGGTAACAATGTTCGTCAAAGGCAGAAAAATAGTTTATATTTTTATATACTTATAATTAATCATTAAATGTAATAATATAACTGTAATTGAATATGTGAATGATTTGTGGAAACAAGAAAAGGAAACCTTAGATATTTTCGTAAAGAAAATGTATAAACTAATGAAGATGACGTGATTGTTCTCTTACTGAACCAAGCGCAAGTAAGATGTAATATGTAAGTAATATGTGTTGTCCAATCAACTCGCATTCAAAGACAGATCTCGCCGATAACAACGAGGTTGTAAGCATAGAGGCGTCTCACCTCTCAGATTATACATTCGTACATTAACTTCTCAATACATTCAACGTCGTGACACATTCCATGAGAAATCCTGTTACTAGAATCACAGGCACATTGCTTCGGTGAGAGAGATTGACTCGAATTAGTTATTATGAAAACTAAATGCAACGGTTCGCAACACAAAGCCAGTTCGCTATACTTAACCTGTACTAGTGTCACTAAACGACACTTTGAGATCGTCACAGAATGTATCACCTTCGCACACATATATATATATATATGTCATTAGAGTGAGCACACTACAAAATGCATCGTAGTAATCAAATATCTCATATATGAGCAGAAATTTCTTACAGAGAGTATAGGTATAGCAAGGAATACTTATCCCAAGAGAAGAACGCTTGCTGGGTAAATGTGTGTATATACGCTTCCATCCAGCACAATGGTGTCGTCTCAATTGCCGATATCTGGCAGCAAGGAATGCGTATAGGTTTTTGAGCTCAGTCATTAACCCACTCGCTGGGTTCCGCAACTATCTATCTCCACCCACTCGCTGGGTTCCGCAACGTTCTATCTCCACCCACTC